GGTCGCGCGTGGGGTCCCGGCCGAGGTGGGGGTGCAGGGCGGGCGCGTGCCCAGACGTTTCCCTCTGGGGTTCGCGTTCCTCTTTGCTAATTGTTTGGTAAGGCTTGCAATCGATCTTGTCTTTTTCCCCCTCATTTTGCCAGAACTTGTTTCCCTTTTGTGTCTTTCTATCCCAGATTGAAAAAGGGATTCCTTACCCAGCTAAGTTTATGGAGGTGAAGTCAGTACACAGCACCCTGATTTAGGGGTCGTAGGATCAGCTCTCCACCACTGTATGTTTTCGCCCCTTGCCCACCCAGCGCACTAAGCCTCTTTCCTTCCCCACTCCCAACCGATTTGCTTTTCTTTCAAAAAGGAAACAGCCCCCAGGTTAACTTGTAATTGTACCCGCCGTGTGAGCTGTTTCTACTGAGCAATTTTGCGTTTCCATCATGACATTTCCACGTTTTAAAAGGATATGTTTGCTTTTGGAATCTCCGGTTGTCCGTGAAAATGTACTTTTGCTCTTAAGTTATTCTGATTTTTGTAGCATATTCAGAACAAAAATGATGTTAATCTTGCTGGGTAATTGTACGACAGAACAACTTAAAAAAAAAACTTCAGGGCAATCTGTTGATAGAACTCAACTTTCAGGCCTTAAAAAGCCTGGGAAATCTCTTGTTTTGCTGTATTTTTAGTACCTAAAAATCCTGAGTTAGACTTGGTCTAAAAAGGAAGAAAACATTCTTTCTCTGTTGTAAAGTAAAGCTGTTATAAGCTGAGTTGTACCCTGAGTAATTCACAGGATTATAGCTTTTGAGATTGGAAGCAGCTTTAAAGATTGACTTTTTTTTTAACTATTTATTTATTTATACATACAAGAACTGGGGTAGAGGCTAGAGGTGCAGGGAATGGGAATTTTCACCAGAGACAGAATGGGGAGCAGAACAGGCAGGTATAGATCTACTGAGGAGACTGGGAAGGCTGCTGAGCCATGTGGGTCACTCCCTGGCCAGGGATCGAACTGGTGCTGCAGTGCCTGCGGATAGCTTCCTAGTGCAGCACTTAAACCCGTGGGCCACCAGGGAGGCCCAAAGATGGACTCTTTTATCTTTCTAAATCAATATGCTTGAACTGGGTGTTGTTATTAGAAACTATAAGATGCTGCCTTTTCACACAGTGCTTACCAGTCTGATAGCATGTGTACACAGAAAGGTGCTTGAGAGGAAGGTACATCGTGGATCATAGGTGTCCTCGTTTGTAGGCTCTGCGAGCCGGCTGGAAGGCCTTCCTGGCCGCACATCCGGTTAAAGCACCACGAAACTGCCGCAGCCACTGTAGCACGATGGAACTGACCTAGGGGATGTGGCAGACGGCTCCTGACCCCCTGCTGCTCCCCTCAGCAGTGTATTTCAGTACATCTGTCTGTTCTGCCACGCACTCTGTCTCCAGTAAATCCTCACATAGCCCACAAAGAAATAGAACCCTGACACTGAGCATTTTGTAAGCTCTGGCCTTGTATGTAAACCTTAACTCTGCAACAAATACAGGAACAGGCTGGTTAGTGAAACAGCCTCTAGTGCTCTCCAATGCTGTTAAGTGCAGAGGACACACAACTTAGAAACTCAACCCCCCTTAACAATTAACAATGCGCGATTATGGTAAAAGTGACATTAATGTACACTTAGGTGACAGGAGTGTAGAGCAGGGGCTCACTCCCAGTTGCAGTCACAAGAAAGGGTTTTAAAGGAGAAGGTATTGCCTCTTGTCCTTTGAGAGTAGGTGGTTTGGAAATTTCTCTGAAACATCAGAGAAGACTTACATGGTGCCATGTGCTGTGTTAATGGAACGGAAACTCAGTTTTGTTAGCATGTCATTGTTCTCTAACTGAGCTGTAGATTCGACAGATATCTAATTTAGGACTTCTCTGTAGGCAGGAAGAAGCCAATTCTAAATTTGATGCCACAAGATAGTTGAACTAGAGAAGCCGAACTAATTTTAAAAGTGAACAAGGTTGCATAGCTTTTACTGCTTGATACCAAATTTTTAAAAGTCACAACAATCAAGACAATTTTTATTGGTGAAAGAAGAGAGATGAGGTCAGTGGAACAGAGTAGAGAACCAGAAATAATACCCATACTCATATTGATACCGAAAAATCAACTTAGTTGGTTTTTGATTGAACTGCAAAAATAATTCCATAAATGCATGATTGTAGTGCAGCAGTTTGATATCCATAAGCTGGGGGTGGGGGAAATGGGTGATTGATTCAAAGGTTAAATCTAAAACTATGAGGAGAAAATCGTTGTAACTTACAGTTAGGCACAGATCTTTTAAACACAAATCTTACAGAGAAAATTATAAGCTTCCCCAAGAAGTATGAGCTTCTACTCTCAAAAGGTGCTGTTAAAAAATGTAAAGAAAGAAAAATGTTTGCACATCACTTATCTCAAAGAATTTATATCCAAAACACATCAAGAAATCTCAAAACTCAGTAAGAAAACACAGCAGAAGGTCATGGATGTGTAAGGGGTTGTTCTGGAGCGATGGCTTAGATGACCATGAAGTTCAGGCTGTGGTCGGGAGCTCATTAGCCATCTCCGTGAATAAATTAGTCTCTTTGACTGAACACTCATTGTCATTTTCTCTTCCCCAAGAAGTACCTTTAGCGCCGAAGTCCGTGGAAGTTCTTCAGAAGATAAAGAAGGTGGTAGAAACAAGCCTGAGCTTTTCTCACCCTACATGGCTGCAGAATCCAGAAAGCCTTTAGCCCCATCCCCAGCAGGCCAGGCTCCTGAAGAGGACCTTGTGATTGTCAAGGTAGAGGAAGATCATGGGTGGGAGCAGGAGTCCAGCGCACATGAAAACAGTGCTCCTGGCCAGGAGCTGTTCCGCCTGCGCTTCAGGAAGTTGTGCTATCAGGAGACGCTGGGCCCTCGGGAAGCTCTGATCCAGCTCCGCGCACTGTGCCACCAGTGGCTGAGGCCAGATTTGAACACCAAGGAGCAGATCCTGGAGCTGCTGGTGCTGGAGCAGTTCCTGACCATCCTGCCCGGGGAGCTGCAGACGCTGGTGAAGGAGCATCAGCTAGAGAACGGAGAGGAGGTGGTGACCCTGCTGGAGGATTTGGAAAGGCAGATCGATATCCTGGGACGGCCAGTAAGTAGATGACCGGGAGCCGTGCACGTTGGCGGAAGGACCTTGGCACCCCGTTGCGGGAATCAGAGCTGAGCAGGAGGGTCTTTAATCAGAGGCTGAAGAATAGCCGAAGTGCAGTCTGGCTTGTTGCGGCAGAGTTCTTTCTGTCTTGTAAAGGGTATACACTAGTGAGTCCTTACTATATGTCTCTGATGGGTTTTTGGAGCCTGACTTTAAGTGAGTCACTGTGTAAGGAAACCAGACCCTCAGAGTTACTTAGCATAGGTTGGTGTTGGTTTTTCCCCTCATCAACATTCTATCAAAATGATACTATTCAAGAGCTGCTGTAAGTTTGTCTTTACTGTTCATAACATCTCAACAGCTATTGCCAGGTGGGAATTGGCGCGTGGGGAGCTTAAACTACTTTCGCAGAGGTATCCCAGTACTTGAGGTCTGAGGCCAGCGCTCACGTCTCCTAGTTCCTTGTCAGAAGTCCTCTGCTGGACAGTGCTACTCCAGGCGACGTGTCTTCTGCACGCTGTCGGTGGTGCCTGCAGCGGTGGAACAGCAGCCGACACCTGCACGGAAGCGCCCCCCTTCTGTGCTAACCAGCGTGCCCCTTAACTGCCCCACGGAAGAAAGGAGAGCCTGCCGCTCCGGGGCCCCAGCCTGCATCCTAGTGGGAGGTCCGGGGCCCCTGATGCTGTCCATTCCTCGGAGGAGTTCCTTGTCACGCCAGCGTCCCCTTGTCCCCAGGTCCCGGCTCGCGCACATGGACACCAGGGACTGTGGGAGGAGGTGGTGCGGCCCGAGCCTGCCGCCAAGCCCCCACGTGCTCCGCTCCAGCCTGTGGCAGCCCAGCTCAAGTCACCAGCGCTCGAAGGGCCTCAAGAGAGAGGTGAGGGTCGGAGGTCAGCGCTAAGGAGGGGCAGGTAGGGCGGAAGTGCGCTTCTCAGAACCAGGAACTGGGCTCGTTGTCATAGACCCGTTCGAAGATCTGGACGGGTTGGGCTCAGCTTCGAGTCCAGGCTCTCAGCCATGGCCAGCTCGTGACAGTTAAAGCACGTGAGATAGTCATGCGCTCACTCTTCTGTCACCACAGTGAATTTACGAAGTAGGTGTTTTTAAGGTTTGCTGGTGACCTTATGCTTCTTTATTTGTAGACACTTCAGTCTGTGCTTCTCACACAAGAGCATGTTCTAAACATCCGCAGTCAGTTTGTCCGCAATCTACTGCACTGTTTTAAGTCCTCGTTTTGCCAGTAATGTTCTTCCTGGCCCCCAGGCCCAGTCCAAGGTCACACCTGGCCATTCGTTGTCCGGTCTCCTTGGCGTCCTTTACTTTGGAATAGTTTCTCAGCTTTCACTTGGCCTTTACATTTTCAAAGAGTGCACGTCCGTTGTTCGTGAGTCAGGTCTCCGGGATGTCCCCTCACGCTCAGGCTCCGGAGCGTCTTGGTGAGGAGCAAGCACCCTGGCAGTGACGAGGGGGCCGCTGCGGGAAAGCACCAGGCATCTGTCCTGTTGGTGAAGTGACTTGTGATGACCTAGCCAAGATTTTCCTGCGAGGTCAATTTTGTAAAGTTCTTATCTCTCCCTGGCAATTAATAAGTAAGGTCTGTGCAGATATCCCTGAAACACTAATTAGTTGCTAAAAGACTGTGGCATTTATTGATGCCTGACTGAATCAGTAAGATAGTTACACGATAATGTTGATGTGTTTTTTTTGTTTGTTGGTGTAGAAGAGCGGGGGTGTGGCCGGGGGGCGGGGTGAGGATGAGAGGATTCACCAGACAGAGTGGGGAGCGGAACACATGGATTTACTGAAATGAACAGCCAAGGGGAGCAGCCGGGAGGCAGGAGAGGTCTGCTGCACCCTGTGGGTCAGCTCCCTGTCCAGGGAGCGAACCCGGGCTGCGGTGGCTGCGGACAGCCTCCTAGCGCTGTGTCTCAACCCGCGTGCCACCAGGCGAGGCAGAGAGGTCATGATGGCATTCGCCGAGGCTGGTCCCCGACGGGAGCGCTGCACTTTGTGTTTGCAGCACGGAACTGGAGGCCGAGTAGGCCAGTGCGCACGTCACGCTCGCCAGCCACGGGGGCTCCAGCGTCCCCGAAGCCTGAGTCCCCGGCGCGTGCTCTCGCGTGCGCGGCCGCAGTGCAGGTTGTGTGGACCGGCGCGTGCTGGCTCCAGCGACCACAGGACAGGCGGTCTCATTCCAAGCTCCTTTCTCCTCTCAGCCGTGTCTGCTTCTCAGAGCCCTACCCCTTCCCAGAAGAGAAGTGCTGGAGGCCAGGAGGTGGCAGCGACACTTCTCACGGCAGGGTTCCAGGTAAGTGTGCACCGAACCCCGGCTTCAGGGAGCGGCGTTGGTGGCATCTGCCCGCCTCACCTCTCTGTCGTCAGCCCCCAAGCGCGTCCCAGTGAAACTCCGCGTAGAGACAGGTTGAGCCCTGACTCCCCCGGGACTTGTGATGTAGTCCTTCTTCTTCCCGGCTGTCGGGTCCCTTCCTACCTCTGGTCCTTTTCCACGTCGGTGGGTCTTTCTTGACACTCTGGGTGTGAGCTGGAAAAACAGTCTCCAAATGAAGATCTTGCTTGTTTCAGACGCTGGAGAGGATAGAAGACATGGCTGTGTCCCTAATCCGAGAGGAGTGGCTCCTTGACCCATCGCAGAAAGGTCTGAGTAGAGACAGCCGGCCCGAGAACCACAGCAGTGTGTTCTCCCTGGGTAAGGAGCACGCTGCTTGCGGTGCTGGATTTCTTTTTATGTGGCTAGGAGATGAGTTTTCTGAAAGACTTCATTCAGCAGGACACAGTTGAGATTTCCTGGGATCTCGTCATGAAACTTGTATCTCACAGTTTGTAAGATATTAGGGTATCAGTTTGTTTCCCTCTGTTGCTCCAGTTCATACATTTCTTTGCTCTGGGCTCTCGTAAGACCTTTACATTTCTTCGCACTGGCCTATTGTTCACCCCCCTTGAGTGACTGTTGGGGGCCACTTCCTAGTTCTGTTCCATCCCTCAGCTCTCTTCCTAGGCCCACATTCCTCCCTACCCAACTGCCACTTGTCAGTTGACCCTCTCCCTGCTCGAGTCTCCGTGCTGGCAGCCTCTGTTGCCATGGCACTTCTTCCCCACCTACCCCAGGGTACCTAGATTGACCTGCTCACATCTCCCCGGATTATGAGGGTGGAAGGGAAGCTTTGCATTTACTTGTAGCAGTGCACCGGTATTTTCCTTTCCCCTTCTCTTCAGCCCTGTCTCCTAGCACAGAAAAAAAGAAGTGACATTGACTTGATGTTTATTCACCCCATGTTTATTTCAGGTGGTGAGTCCAGGAATGAGAACAGGGAAATAGCTTCGAAACAGGTAATATCTGCTGGAATGCAAGCACAAGGAGAGACGGCTGCCCAGTGCAACGGGGATGTTCTCGGGGGTCTCGAGCGTGGAGAAGCCCGAGACTTGGGCAGATTAGAGAGGCAGCGGGGAAATCCCACCCAAGAGAGACGACATAAATGTGATGAATGTGGGAAGAGCTTTGCTCAGAGCTCAGGCCTTGTTCGCCACTGGAGGATCCATACTGGGGAGAAACCCTATCAGTGTAACGTGTGCAGTAAAGCCTTCAGTTACAGGTCAGCCCTTCTCTCCCATCAGGATATCCACAACAAAGTAAAACGCTATCACTGTAAGGAGTGTGGGAAAGCCTTCAGTCAAAACACAGGCCTGATCTTGCACCAGAGAATCCACACTGGGGAGAAGCCATATCAATGCAATCAGTGTGGGAAGGCTTTCAGTCAGAGTGCGGGCCTGATTCTGCACCAGAGAATCCACAGTGGGGAGAGACCCTATGAATGCAATGAGTGTGGGAAGGCTTTCAGTCATAGCTCACATCTCATTGGACATCAGAGAATCCACACTGGGGAGAAGCCCTATGAGTGTGACGAGTGTGGGAAAACCTTCAGGCGGAGCTCACATCTTATTGGTCATCAGAGAAGCCACACAGGGGAGAAACCCTACAAGTGCAATGAGTGTGGGAGGGCCTTCAGTCAGAAGTCAGGCCTTATTGAACACCAGAGAATCCATACTGGAGAAAGACCCTACAAATGTAAAGAATGTGGGAAAGCTTTCAATGGAAACACTGGCCTCATTCAGCATCTGAGAATTCACACAGGGGAGAAGCCCTATCAATGCAATGAGTGTGGGAAAGCCTTTATTCAGAGGTCAAGTCTCATTCGCCATCAGAGAATCCACAGTGGAGAAAAATCTGAGTCCATAGGAGTTTAGGGGAGACTTTGGTCCTAATTTGGGCATTATCTACAGCAGAGAAACCCAGGCTGGCGAGGGGTCTTTCCATGTAGTAAAAAGGCGGGAGACTCATTGTGCCCTTGTGCATTGTCAGAATTGGCGGTGGCAGAGTCAGAGTAGCTCTTCAGCAGTTGGGGCCCGGGCCTTGACGCGGGTCGGTGAGCTTGTCTTGGGAGATGTCTCAAGGAGTGGTGCGTCCCTGTGGCCTGCGGCTTCCTTCAGAAACTTCACACAGCATCAGAGCAGTGCTGGTTGTGGCGCGAGCCACTAAACTTTGTCTTTTGGGTGAGTAGCTGTAGTGTGGCAAGCTACGTCTAGTTCCTCTGCCTCTCCCCGTCTCCTCGAGCCCTCCTCCCACTGTCCTGGAGGCGCATTCGTGCTCCTCAGCACCCAGGGAGCGGCTTTAGAGTTGGAAACAGCCTCTGTGTGAGACTTAATTTGTATTTAGCTTTCTAAGATCCTCGTTCTAGGGAGTTTTTATGACACTTCCCATATTTGTGCTCAAGTGTGCATCTTAATCTACTGTCCGCGTAGTCGGGGCACATCCAAATTCCCATGCAAACTCAGAGTGCCGTATTCTTAGAGCGATTCTTCCTCTGTCACCTCACTGACTCACTGAGTGGTTGAGCATCCATAGGTGTCCTTCACACGCCAGCCCAGTACCTGTGTCCGCAAAGGAAGTGGATGGCTGTGGGAAGGATGCAGAGCAAGGTGAGTGGAGACCCTGCCGGGCCGCCGTCGAGCTTGGGTGGCGAGGCCTTTCGGTGACTTCTGGCTCTCCTTTCCACCCTCCCACTGTTCTCTGTGGCACAAGTTAGGTGTTTACACTACCCTGATACAGCATCACACGGGAGAAGAGAGGAGACAGGTGGCTTGGAGAGGACACAAAAATCCTTACAAATTTGTCCACTTCCCCTTTCTGACCTGTTTTGGTACCTCCTGCTCCCACCCCACCCCCAGCTTCCTCCATGCTGCACACACCCCCTGCCTACAGGGCCTGTTAGTCTTAATACCCTGGGCCCCCCTTCTCAGGTGGTCTCAGCACCTTGTCATTCTCCAGCTGTTTCTGGCAGTTAGCTTGTGTGGCTTTTAATCCACAGGGATGATCTGTTGACTCCTTCACAGTCTGTATTCTCCTGAATTTTGCTGCCTTCCAGCGATCCAGCGAAGACACCACATTAAACTTAGCGTCACCAGGCATTGCGCCTCAGTTTTGAGGTGTGCAGTATACTGAGCTAGTGTTTGCAGCAATGAGTCTCGTTTAAAGTCACACACACAACCGGGGAAGCCACAGGTGGACTGTCTGTCCAGGGAGCTGGTCGCTAGTACGCCTGTGGGCTGCCTTCCTCCCAGGAGTCGGACACCTCCAGAACTGCCATTCGATACGCCCTGCAGGGAAAATTCCTACGCCAGAGGCACATCTCAGTTTCAGCCATCTGGCTTACCACACTTGGATTTGGTTAACTATTGACACTTTCCGAAGTCATTTTCTAAATTGGGGTCAGGTCTATTCATTCTACCCAGATAAATGTTCTAGTGAGAAGCCCAAGGGAAGTCGCACAGTTTTACACTGACTATCCCGAAAAGAGATACCGCTCACTCTTCGTCATCATTTTACGGTGGTTTTATGAAGTTGGGGGTGGGGGGGGTCTTACTTCTTACAGGTCCATCCTTGCTGCCACATCCCTTCTCTTCCCTTGGCCCACCTAGACCTTTAACACCACCACGGAAATCTGAGTGTCCATTGAGCCGTTGGTACTCACCTGCCATTTGGCATCCTGGTTTCCTGGGTTAACTTGTTAAATACTCTCTTCATTAGCCTTTACTTTGTCCTTACTCCCCGCCCTTCACCTTCTCTGTCCTTTTTCCTTTCCTAAAGGTATTTTCCCTAATTACTTGGACTTGAAACTTCCAGAAACAAGTAAATGTGGTTGTCTCTGGGTTCTTGTTCTAGATCCTTGCTCTCTGCTTCAGGCGCCTTACCCTCTGAGAGATGCTGATTCTCCTGAGGCATGCTCTGTTGTACAGACAAGACATAGGATGGTACTCTGTCAGGGATGGACATGCACACACGTTCCTCTCACAGTTCGCAGGAACTCTCTATCCCGGTGAAGGCTCTTTGAGCAGAGGCTACTTGTTGAAGTGACTGTAGGAGAGTCAGCTAACAGGAGCTAGAAAATGTGTAGCCATGTGACTCAGAATTACCAAACGTCTGGCAGAAATTTAAAATACATATATATGTGACCTAAAAAAAAATATGCATATACACAGCTATTTAAAAAAAGTTCTGCCATTTGCAGCAGTATGTAAGGGCCTAGAGAGTATCATGCTTAGTGAAATAAGTCAGATGGAGAAAGGCAAACATCCTGTGACTTCATTCCTCTGGTGTGTAGAGAAGTCAAAAGAATAACCTGAGTAAAGCAAGCTTTAAAAATAAAATACGACCAGAAAGATGATAGTGTTATAGTGGGATGGAGGTGAGAAAAGACCGACCTGCAAGGGCTGTCGGGCCTGACCGAGCACAATTGCACAAGTAGCTCTGTACCAGAGGCAGAAAAGGCTCGTTCTCTGGTGGAGGCCATTGCTGGCCTCCAGTTGTCTCCGCATGGAATGTTTGTGATCATCTGTGACCTTGTGTTTCACCGCTCTGCGTGACATGCTCCTTTATCCTGCAGATTCTCTTTTTATCTGAAACCATCTGTTCATAAATACTTTGAACAGTTATAAAGCGGGTCTTTGTTGCCATCCAACAAACGTTGAAGCAGCCCCTCAGGTGTCCACGGTTTTCTCCACGGAGGATGGGGTGCCTGCTTCCTACACAGAGCAGTTCTGAGATTGTGGCAGACAGTGGCACTTACCGAGCACTCGCTGTGTGCCAGGCGCATGTTGTAGGTGACGTCACGTCCCCTCCCTTTGAGACGAGCAGACTCGATGTCAAGACTTGACTGAGTAGCCCACGAGCACGGAGCTGTTAACCGAGCAGGATTCTAAAGCCACCAGCTGATTCTCGAGCTGGCGCTCCTGACCACTGTACCGCCTGCATCTGCTGCACAGCTGTGGCCAGCTGTCCACACGTGGACCGCTGCTCGTAAGAGGCGGTGGGCACGGCCGTGTGATTGGCTTGGAGGGCCTGTTCAGCTGTGGAAAATGACAGCAGGGAAAGTGCCGTTTTGGTTGATAATTAGATCATCTTTAAGTGTTAATAGTGTAATGCTGGATAGACTGAAAGGTAAGCTGTGTGAGTGTGTTTCTAAAAGAGCAGCTGGGGGAATAAAAATAAAGTATAACTTGGAGCTGCAGCTGTCCCAGGGGAAGTAAGATCGTAGAGGGGAATTTCAGACAGGTGGACAGTTAGGGGTACAAGCGAGTCCACCTGCAGCGTCAGTGTGAACATCCTTCAGCCTTCCGCCCGGTTCCAGCCACTGTCAGTTTCCTCCATCTGCGGCTTTCCGGGCAGGTCGTCCATTGTTCAGCTGCGTCTGGCTCATCCACTCAGCTCCTCTGCGCTGGCTTTTGTACATGGTTCGACAGAGAGATGTCCGCAGTCACCAGTGGAGAAGCGTTAAGGCCTTTTCTTAGTTCTGGTCCTCTTCGATCTCTGTTTCATACTGTTGAATTTCCCCTGCATCTCAGGAATTTCTTCCTCTTTGGCTTGTGAAGCCACAAGGTCTTTTGGATATTGTTTCTTCAAAGCCATGTCTGGCTTTTCTTTACTGATCTTTAACTTTTTTCCTTATTGACCCTTTTTCCCCTTCTCACCCCTGAGAATAATCCCCAGGTGTTTACTCACCAATTTTTTTTTCTGTATTAACTCCTCCTCATCCATTTTTGATGATTTACTCTGAAGCTTCTGAATTTTATTTAGTAGTAGTGACTTAATTTTCCTGTCCCCTGAGTCCTTTCTCAGTGGCTGGGCTTTTTCACAGGCACAACTTGATACTGGGGATCAGACTCATCACTCTTCTGCCTCACCCGCCTTTTCCCTTTTAACTGAACTTCCTGTCCCTTCAACAGACTGACCGTCCTTCACTTTTCTAATCGCAATCGTGGAGTTATCTTTTAGTTCTGTTCTGCCCTCCACCCTACTGGTCCAGAGTCTTGCTCAGTTGCCTCATTTCGTCGTCTCCTCTTGGAAGCTGGGGCCTCCTCCGCCCCTCTGTGCAGCTCTGCATCCAAGGCCGGTTACTGGAATTCGTTCAGCTCCCTGTTCTCGGATCCTCATCTTGTATGCTTCCCGCAGGGCCTCCTCACGTCCACATGCATCACGTTCACTCGGGCACACCCCGCAGATAAGAGGCCAGGGTGCGCTTCCTGGGTTCTGCGTTACCTGCCGTCCATGCTGGCCCGCCTCGGCCTCCTTCCTCCAGCTTCTGCGCCTTCGTGTCGCCTTCAGACTCCTGCGGCCTTTCACGGCTGTCTGAGAGCCCTTGCCTCTGTGCCTTCTCCTTCTGCTTCCCCTGCTCTTTGACCCCAGCCCGTGTTCAAAGACTGGTTTCCTGTGTATCTTCTGAGTGAGCTCTCCCTGACTCACTTCACCTCATACTGAGACCTCCCTTTTTGTGTGTGGCCTCATCACTTTGGGTTTGTACTGTGGTCCACACAATCACTAATAGGTTGCTTTGTAATTATTTTCTAGCTCTGTATTGTAGTTTCACATTTGTATTTATTTCCAAAATTAAATTGTAAGCTCCTTGAGGGCAGGAATATTAACTTTTACATTTGTATTTCTGCACCCCCCTCAGTGCCTAGTTCAGTGCTGAGCACACAGTAGGCGTTTAATAAATGCTTGTTGAATTATTGTGTGGATTATTTATGGTGTTCCAGAAAAACTTAAGCTGTTATCAAGGATGTATTTCTTTTTACCACTGGTGCACAGACAGATTTCCCAAGTTTGTTAGTAACTGCCTATACACCTAAGATTAAGACCCTACAAAATACCACTTCAGGAGCCCGTGTCTGAAAGTTGAGATATGAGGCTCTCTTTGGACACTTACTTTTTGGTTAAGAAATAAATACAAGACTAAAGATTACTGTGTTAAAGTTACTACAAAAAAAAGTAATCGAGAACAGGCTTCTGTAGCTGAGATGAAATCATTACACTGAAGGTGTAGCAGGAGTTGCTTCTTAACTTACGAAATTTGGCAATGTCTGCGGATGTTTTTTGGTCGTACTCTTGGACAAGTAAGAAAGATGCTACTGGCATCTAGTGGATGGAGGCCAGGGTTGCTGCTGAACCTTGCGTGGACAGGACAACCCCCCACAACAGCAAAATGAGCCTGTTCCACAGGTTTAATAGTGCAGTGCTGGAAAAGCCATGGCCTGAGATGATTTAGATAGGGCTATGAAAGAATACATTGAGGAAACAGCCATGCCAAGCTTAAGAGAATCCTAAATGTGTCTGTGTATAGTGTTGTTGTACAGTTTAAAAAAATAAAAAGCCTTAACCTTTGGCGTTCACATTAACATCTGTCAAGGTGGTGGCTAACAGCAGAGTGGTGCTGACTTCTAAGGCTGTGTGGCAGGAGTGCAGTCTTGTGTGTCCATTTCTTGCTTGGTTCATCACATAGCGTCAAAGAGAAAATGTGGGGGCTGTCTCTTCAGCAGCCAGCCTGTGACAGCAATTTAGCTTGACGGCAGTGGCCCTCAGCACTAGGCTGTGCTAATTAGATGGCATTTCCTTCAATTGGTGTAAAGAATCAGCGCCAGATTTAGATTAGTTTCAATATGTAATATGCCCAAGAACTGCGTTGCTCAGTGGTGTTTACCGAGTGGATTTGGAAGTGACTTGTGGCCATTTTTCAACCCATTCTGAGTGGCAGCACAGGCCACTCACTAACTTAATGGTACCGTGAACAGAATCCAGGTTCCCTGGGGCTTTTGTCGGTTCTCATAACCCTTAGCCTTTTGTTAGTTCCTGTTCTGCCGTGGCATAGATTCACACTCGGTGCCCCCTCCAGTAATGTTTTGGAATCACTCCTGTATCAGCTAGCCTCCCCAACCAGTACTGACCGCTGTCCCGAGTTAAACGCTGCTAAGTGACAGGTTTTGCGGAATTGCAGTCATGTCTCGGAAACTCTGGTCTCTAGTCCCAGAACACACACTGGATGGCTGCACTGCCTTCCGGGTCACGACGACCCGGGCTCTGGCGGCCCGGTCTCAGGTTTAGGGTCTCGGGTTTACATCGCACACTGGGGATCCTGCCGTTTCCTAGATACAGACCTCCCTAGGGTCGCAAAGGGTTAGGTTTCAGCAGCAGGAAGCTATCTGCTGCCACAGCAGCACCAGTTCGATGTGGCCAGGGAAGTGACCACAGGGCGCAGCAGACCCCTCCTGTCTCGTTTTTTTTGTTTGTTTTTTTTCTTCCAAAGGAAGGGGGAGTCTGCGAGTAAATGGAAATGCCTGCTTGTGGGTTATAAATGGAGAAGAAGAGTCTTCTGCTGTTTCTAGTGCCCATGACAACTTGTGAGAGCAGAAGACCCCTCTTCCAGTTTGGCGATGAGTGATCATCTGTCCACCGCAGCACTGTCCCATCCACGCCCGGCACAACCTCTCCCCTCTCACTTTCCCTTCCAGCGACAGCCGCTGCTCCTCGCCCCCCAGCCCCCCAGTAGGGCTCAGGCAACAGTCCCCCCACCCCGCAGAGCCTAGAGACCCCGAAACCTGACGTGATCCAACTGCCCCTCTTGTAAATTACGTTCCTACTTGACATTGTGTTTTTTTCCTCCCATAACTCAGTAGTGAGTGAAAACTATGACAAGCTTTGCTTTTTCTTTAAAATCATGTTTATTTTACAGAAACAAAGAGGCCCTCAAAGGGGATCCCTGACTGCACACTCACCTATTGGAAAGTCGCATGCTCTGTGTTTTGCTGATTGCAAAGACTCTACCAGAAAACTCGCTGAGCTGGCTCCAGCAGCTCCGCTGACATTAACGGTGGACAGTCCTGACCATTCTGCCCCAGGAGACCAGTCTGGGAGTGGGAACAGCAGGGCGGGGGGGAAAGTGGGTCCTTTGGAAAGTGACTTAACTAGACAACCTCAAGAGAGAGTTGGATGAACACAGACAGCAGAAGGGAAGGGAGAGCTATTAAGTCATCTTAAAACTCTGGTCCTTAGGAAGTTGTCTCTTTCTCCCTCCCGTAATTTTAGGCATTTAACCTAACCCTGTGGTTGCATGGTGGCCAACTCACCTGATCTCTCTGTGCCCCCATTTCCTCACCTGTGTACGAGGATGAGAAAAGCACTCTCTAGCTAGCTGGGAGAGTTGCTTAAACAGGTACATAAGAAGTGGTATCCTGGTAGCTGTACTTATTTTTTCTTCCGCTTACTTGCTACAATGGTTAATTTGTTCATACAATGACTCCATCATTATTTCATGTTT